CCATGAGCCTTTCTGTCAGTCTGGATAGTACATGTGACACCCTGTATGTGCCTTGGCAGAGGGATGGGCCAGCCTGATGACGGACAGCCAGTGTTTGGTCACTCTGTGCTCATTGGCCAAGGAAGAGGTGGTGGATGGCTAGGATCTCACAGGTGTAATAGAGAGGTTGTCATCTGAAACTCGAAGTCCTCAGTCCAATCTGTTCTTCTCAACATTGGCTTCCCTGGACCATGGCCTGGAGTGTCACAGAAGAGCAGACTTTCTGAGGATTCCAGCAGGGTTGAGTCTATGAGAAGGAAAACCTTCATAGCCTAAGTGGAATAAGAAGGCTGTGTGGCTCAAAGCCTCAGCGAGGGCCAAGGTCACTGTATAGCTTTCCCATATTGTTTCATGGTTCTTGGCACCTTCTCTCTCTGCCTTCATTTCTCTTCTCCCTGGCCTGTGCCTTCCTTGTTCATCTATCCCTTTTGATTCTATTTGCTTTTGAGTTTCTCCCATCTAATCGCTTCTATATTTCTTTCCCTCCCTGTCTTCTTCCTCTCCTCTTTCCCACTCTCTTGCTTCATCTTTCTCTGTCTTGCATCTTCCGGTTCTACTCTCCACTTCTGTCATTGACCCCTGTCCAGTTTGTTTCTTCCCTTGCTCGGGGTAGCTGGCTCCACTCAGCTCTCCCTGGCAGGCTCATATCCATCATACCGCAGGCCTGTCTTACTGTGGTCTCTAAGTCCTGTAGTAGCTGCTACCTGAAATCTCAGCTATGGGCCTTTGAAGAGAACTTCTAGGTCTATGGCTAGCCATTAACCAACACCCCCTGCCCACCCCACCAGGCGCAGCTCTTCAAGAAGTTTTCTGAGCACAGATGCATTGATGATGATTTATTAATTGCAGTGCCAGGAATCAAACCGCGTGCTAGTCAGGGTTTCTGCCACTGGGTGCTATTAAACTCATAGTAGGTATTGTTAAGTTTTAATAGGCAGGTGGATGGTTAAGAATGAATCCGTGAAAACTACTCCAAGAATGTTCTGAACTCTGAGGCTGCCTAAGCTTTCTTTACCCACCCAAGTTACCATAAGAAACACCACATGCACAGTGTTCTGGGAATGTGTTCTAGCGCTCTCTCAGGCTGCAAGGAACACTCCGTTTTCTCCAAGAAGTCAAACTAACCCTCAAAAGTTGGGTGTGTTTTGTCTATGTTTCCTGCAAGCTAAGGCCCAAATTTCGAGAAGCAATCAATTCCAATTGATTGGCAAAATCCAACTCGTCTTCTCTGGGCCAACTTTGGATGGTAAAGTTCATTAAAAGCAGGCCTCTGGCAAGCCCGACACCCCTTGATGCAGCAGTAATCAGGGCTTCCTCATGCCAAGTAGCAGGATCTGCCCTAAAGAGTCTCTGGCATGGTTTTGTAGGGAGTTACCCATCTGCAGCCGCAGTTTTTGTAAATGAACGATTTGACCATGATGGAAATCCATGAGGAGCTTTTGAGCTTGGCTGGGAAGGGATGAAGGGAACTTGCCTGTGGGATGTGGAGATGCCATTCTTCTTGCTCCTCTTTCATGTGCAAACGTTGCTCCCCTAAACAGAGATATTTCTCTTGGCATTGCCATCAGGAATGCACTTTGGCCCTTGGCAGGCAAAGGGACTCCTTGGGAGCCTTAAGATCTCTTGAAGGAGAGATTCAGATCTTACTCGGTTGTTTGCTTTCAGAGGCTCCGAGGAACCAGGAAGGTGTAAATTTCTTTCTGAATCTGCATGGAGCAGCAACTTCTGGAAGTCATCGTCTCTGGAAGCAACTGGCACCGGGCTCCAGCCTGAGCTTGCCAATCCCAAAGCAAGAAGCTAATTTTAACCAATATTTATGGTCCATCATGTGCCAAGCTCTGGGTTGGGCCATTAATGCATAGGGCTGCTGTCACCCCCTTCCAAGCAAAAACCAAATCCGGCAGTCACCAAAACCGTGATGTCAAAACAGACTGCAGTTTAAAAAAAAAAAAGGTTTTAAATGTCTACACATGGAAAAATTTAAAGGTTACACTTAAGAGGTAAGGCTAGGGGCTTGACAGGAGGCTTTGAATTTTCATTTTACATTGTAAGCACTTGACTCATACATTTAAGAAGTGCGTATTAAAATAATTCAGAAATTAAAGGTAAGGAAGAAAAACTACCACAAATTAGATTTGATTAACGTTTACATTTTTATCCAAAGACCCGTGTTAAACAGCAAGCATGGATTTGGCCCAGAGTCAGTGTCCTTCCAGGCCTAGCAGGATTTCTGACGCTGTGTTTCATATGAACGTTGGTCCTAGGATGTCTTCTAGAGGGAATGAGGGAGTCCAAGTTTGGGAGAGGTTAGGATATGGCACGGAGTGAGCCTTTCAGAATCGATGATTTACAGTCAATGTGTAAACAACATTTATTTGTTTCTTAAAGGCTCTGAGAAGTTGAGCTATCTTACACAAACACATGAACTACCTCTCTTTCCTTTAAATAGCATCAGAAAACGCATTCAACCAAGTCCATTTGGGGAAACGCGTGCTTACCTCTTGTTTGCAATCATCCTTTCCTATCGGACTTCACTTGAGTTTCAGAATCCACAAGGGCAGGTGTCAGGTGTCGTACTATGGTGGGAGGCAGACTGGCAGAAGTGTATGGGAATCATGCTGGAGGAATGACCCGCCCCCCACACGCGTGCCTTTTAAAATAAACAAAGGAAAGAAAATGAAAGAACTTCACTCTGCCACAGAGAAAGTAAGTGTAGGATCATGATTTGACGAAACATGTTGGGGAGTAGGCTGTGGGGCACCAATTTGCATGCCATGCGTTTGTTTGTTTGTTTTGCAGTTACCTGGTTCAGGTGAGGCTCTGATTTGAGGTATTGTGGAGAGGGTCTGGATGGGAAGTTAAGGAGCTGGTACGAGCAGGATCCCCACAGACACTGAGCAGGAACTCTAATCTTCAACCCCAGACATGCACCTCACTGTCTGGTTTCAGGATGGCACACAGTAGAGATCTCCTATGGCCCTGAAAAGTTTCTGCTCTGTTTCTGCCCGGGTTTTCTGTTACCAACCCTCTTTTTCCATGGCATAATGAGGTAGACTACTGCAGACCAAAATGGCCCTGTAGCTTTCTGCCTGCTAGCCTCCGTGTACTGGGTTCCCACTCTCGATTTTGCTGTCAATCCCAAGACATGGACAGTCTCGACTCTTTCCCACTCCAGAGAAGGTCCTCTCTGTGCTTGCACAGCCAAGAGTCGAGACCCTGGAAGCTCTGCTCCGTCATTCATTAAGTCCCACCCACAAATCAGCCCTGATCATTACCTTTAACTCACGTCTTTAACCTTCCCGATGCCTTTAATTGCCCAAAGAATTAGAAAGCTCAAACTGTAGTTTTCTCTTTCTGTCTTTCACAGAATGTAAGCCTGAGCCTAGGAAGTATCTAGACACAGGGATCTCAAGGTGGTAAGGCATCTAGTAGGGCAGATAGGGCAGGTATATAAGCAGTTCATTGAGGCAGGGATGCCCAGAGCGCATATATATATGTGTGTGTGTATGTGTGTGTGTGTGTGTGTGTGTGTGTGTGTATAAAATCTGGAACTCTCTTGGCTTTCCAGGAAAGGAACAATAAAGATGGAGTTTAAAGAATGACGAAGGGTTCCTGAGGTGCACATTAGTGACCTGATTTGATGTAAAAACAACTCAGAAAACAGAAGATTGTGGTTGAATTGCACCCCTGGTGCCCAGTACTATTGTGTATCTGGGGCTTGGGAGCATGGGTTGGATTTAAAGCCACAGTAGAGGAAACCAGAGTGATGGGTTAGGGCCAGAGCCTGAAGAAAGAGCATGAATAAATGCACAGATCCTACAATTTCTCTTCCTGCAGGGTGGGCCGGGCTGAGTTGCCCAGGAAAGGAGTGAGAACTTGGCATAAGACAACTACGCAATCAGAGGATTCCTGGAAGGATGGAGTATCGTTGAGACCACCCTGAAATGGGACATGCCTGGTTATTGGCCCCATATAGTTGGGTAGGACATCATGGCAGTGGAATCATGCGGTAGAATAGGCCTTTCAACTCCTGGCAGACAGAAAACACAGAGAATGCAAGAAGAGGGCAGGGCAAGATACAGCTCCCATGGGCGTATAGCCCCAGTGATCGCTTCTCCAAGCTAGGCACCATGACTTCCTCTTCACCACTTCCCAATAATGCCACCATCTTATGATTCCAACAACCCAATCACATTGACACTCAAGTCAACCAGCGGACAGCGAAGTCTTGCCCCATAGGCTACTAGATCAGCAACAGTGTGATTTTATTTTGTTCTTAGACCAAGTCTCAAACGGAAGAAATACAGTTCAGGACAGTCAGAGTGACCCGCTCTCAGTACAGACAAGAGAATACAGTAACTGTAGGGGATGTAGCAACAGCAACAACAGAAAGTTCTTATCTCTAAAATGGGTTTAAACATTCAGCCACCAAGCTTTCTGACTAACTTAAGTTACTGCCATTTGCAGGTCATGGAGTTTTCTTCTTGTTCTGCCTCTTTGAGTGAACCCCATTATGTCCCCCTTGGCCCCCCACCCCCCACCTGCACAGATTTAGGCATTTACTTCCTGAAGAATATCTTTAAGGTCTTCAGTACCCTCTTGCCCAATACCCCTACTCCTGGCCTAGGCCTTCAGATTCCAGAGCAAATTGCCATGTAGTTTGGAGAGAGCCTCACAGCTTCTTGCCAGCCAATCTTCCAGCACATAATTGTCCAGGCCTCTAGCCAGGAGGAGGCCTAGCTTCTCTCCACACAGGGAAGGCACTCCTAGGCTCTAAATAAACCTCATAAGTCATGCGAGGCTCCTTGAAGGAGTCTGAAATGCTTGGCCTTTCTCCGGGATAGCAACACTGGCTCCTGCAGAAAGACAAAGTACTGCTCCCACAGGTGCTGTGTCAGGGCCTCTGGGTGTTCAGGCCCTGTAATGAATGGAAGGGGTTTGGAAGAGCAAGGGAGGGCGGTCCTTCCTGGAGGTGTCATTAGAGGTAACTTCCTCCAGGTTGAGGATAGAACCTGACAACTGGCCCTGTGGAACTCACCGAGGGAGATTTTTCTCAGCAAGGGCTCTGAGGCTGGACTATAAATCGCCAGACACCCGGGCAAGGTGAGGGCTAGCAGCTGCAGCTGCAGCATGTTTAGAGCTGCAAGACTCGGTGCTTCTTTGCTTCTCTGCTGAATCTCTCCTATGCTCATTTGTGAGGTTTGTCCTCAGTGTGGGGATGGTAGTGAGTGAAGACGGGAAAGCAGCAAACACTGGGCACGGGGACGCGCACACAGCGATCGGGTACCCCCCCCAGGAAAACCTCCTCTGTTTCCAATTCATTCCTCCTGAATCGAACTAGTCGGTGCTCTAGAGAACGTTCTGACCCGGGGCTGCAGCTTCTGAGTTGCTTTCTTGCCTAACGCCCCCATGTCTGGATCTTTAGACTCCAGAACAAATTGCTTTGCAGGACACAGAGAGAGAGCCTTGAAGCTCTCAGGTGCCACATGGACCCAGTTAGAGTCCGGGAATGTAACAGCTGTGCCAGATTTCTGTTTCCTTTGTTAGTCCCGGCAAAATCAATGACTGGGGAGAAAGCGTTGGTTTGGCACACTGTTTTAAAGGTTCTGATCCCAGAGCAGGCAGAGGCATTGCCTTTAGGCTTTGGGGTTGAGGAAAGCAGTCTAACACGCTAGAGCACTTGATGGAGTTAACGTACCAGATCCAATACTTAGCAAAAACAAACAAACAACCCCCCCAAAACAAACAAACAAACAAACAAACAAACAAACAAACAAAAAACCCCTTCGTTCTCATTATTCTCTTCAAGGACAGGACAGACCTTCAATGATCAGAAAGGGCCCTGCAAAACCCTGTGTTTCTGAAGATTTTACCACCTCACAGTAGTGCCCAGCTGGAGGCTAAGCCTTTATACATGGTCCGGGGTGGGGGTATGGTCCAACATTTTCTTGTCTGCAGCTGTGGCATTTGCCTTTGGTGGTTAAGCAGGTGTTGTCATTGGGCCAGCCTGCATCTTCTGCTCTTCTTTCTGATAGTCTAGTCGATTGAAGCTCTTCGAAGCCAGGCAGAGACCCCTGTTCCCCATCCCCTACCAAAATTTCATGCATATTAATACTTGTTTGATTCATGGTAACAAAAATGCAAACAGCATCTCATGGTTGCTTGAAAATTTTTGTCCTGATAACCAGTGGGGGGAAAAATATGCTTCGATATCACTGACTATTTATGCTTCTCTCTGTGTGAATTGCCAATAAGAATCCTCAGGTCATTTTTCTGTTGATGTGTTTTAGACCTTTATTATCGATCAGGCATTGTTTTAGGTGTTCCGTTATCAATCTTTGGACTGCTGTATTTTGAATGCAGTTTTTCATCTAATTTTATAATCCAATGTTTTGTTCTTTCCTTTCATAATATTTGTGTTTAAAGGTCTGATATTATTCAATGTTATAAATACATTCCTCTTTCTTCGAGCCATTCAATATATTAACTTGTTCAATATTTGGCACTTTAGTAATTCTGGAACTTTGTGAATGGTATTAGGTAGGAACTTATGTCAAACGAATAACCAGAGGCTCTCAATCATTCATTGGATTGTCTAGCATCCCTGAGTTGATTTGAAACACATCCTTAATAATGGAATATGTTCCTGTATGTGTTTTCTACATAAAAGGATTGTGTGAGTGTGTACGTACAACATCACAATACACAGCTTGTGACTTTGTGTGTCCATTCTTTTGATGCAATTATGGCAGAAATGTATATAGGAGATTGGTGAAGGCGGTGCTGTAGTATTGGTGCCTTTTTTTAGGCATCATGGATTATCACATATTTTTGATAAGTCTGTATTACTAGTAATATGTAAGTGGTAATATGCCACTTGAAGGTCAATATTCAAGAGACAGGATTGATAGAAAGGAATCAGATATGTTCAAGGTAATTTAGGGGTTTGATGGACTTTTTAAGAGTATTATATATTAATTACAATGATGTATTTGTTTTAACATTTTCTTATCTATGTATATATAATGTATTTTGATCAAGTTCCTTTCTTGTTACTCTCTTATCTCCCGCCTATTCCTGCTGACCCTCTTCCTATCTGGTCCTAAAGCTTTCATGCTTCTGTTTTTGTCTTTAATGACCCCGTGGGATGGGAGAGAAAGGAGATATAGTTAAACGACAGACTGGAAGGCTGTGAACTGAATGGGTGATCTTCATCAGCTTTGACCCACAGGCCCTTTTTACTTATTCCCCAGGATATGATGAAGGGGCCTGATCTCTTGAAGTTATGTCCTGTAGTTTTCAAACAGACATCTTCAGAGTGCCAAAGACTAAGGAGAGGTGTTACAGAGTCATTATCTTCTCTGGGTTCTGCAGAGTTAGAGAAAGGTTTATCAGTCATCATCTTAACTCTGTAGGTAGGCTAGGATTAGGGATCCAAGGCAGCCTATGAACCTCTGTTATTGATAGCACATGTCCATGTGGTATGATTGAGCATTCTTTGGGTATATACTCAACAATGGTATTGCTGGGACTTGAGGTAGATTGTTTCCTAATTTTCTGAGAAATCACCATATTGATTTCCAAAGCAGCTGTACAAGTTTGCATTCCCATCAGCAATAGTGGAGTGTTCCCTTTACCCCACATCCTCTCCAGCATAAGCTGTCATTACTGTTTTTGATCTTGGCCATTCTAAAAGATGTAAGATGAAATCTCAGAGTTGTTTTGATTTGCATTTCTCTCATGGATAGGGATGTTGAGCTTTTCCTTAAGTATCTTTCAGCCATTTTAGATTTGTCTATTGAGAGTTCTCTAATTAGGTCTGTACCCCATTTGTTATTGGATTATTTGTTCTTTTGATGTCAAGTTTCTTGAGTTCTTTGTATATTTTGGACATCAAACCTCTGTCTGTTGTGGAGTTTGTGGAAATCTTTTCCCATTCTGTAGGCTGCTGTTTTCTTGTGTTGATTGTGTCCTTTGTTTTACAGAAGCTTTTCAGTTGTGCCCTCCCCTTTTGATTGGGGTGTATAAGGACGGTGAGTGATAAACTCGGGGCTTTTGTTACAGTATTCCCTGGAAGCCCTCGTGACTCTATCTTCTGTGTCTTGTCTATTCTCTATGTCTTTCCTGAATCCACACTCCCCTTCTCAGGAATATACTGACAAGTAGGCTGGGCATGACACTGTTTGCTCTGGTAGGAAGTCCTCAGACTCAGATTCTTCTCTCACCTGGAAAGTTCACACTCAACTCAGAAGATGCTCTATGAGGTTCTCCTCTGAGCGGGCATTTGTAATTGACCCATAATTCTGAAAGAGCAAAGAGCTTGGCTCAGAAGAAAATTGTTTGAACTGCCAACCAACAAACTTACCAATCCATGTCCTTAAACCTGTGTCCTTTGGTACTTAAATTCTCAGTATGTCCATCCCTAAAGTGGGGATTATAAATTCACTGCCTCCAGGGCTGCTATGACAGCGGAATTCAGAAGCATGGATGGGAGACCTTTTGGGGGGTATTGGCTTGTTGCGAGTGCTCAGTGAGCACAATTCCTTCCTTTCCTTCCTTCTCCTACTCTTGCTGCATTTAAATCCCATTCCATGGAATACAGCCACACAGCAGCCCTGGTTAACTGTTGAAATCTCCTTTTGACTTCATCACCATCATCTTCCAAACTCTTGTATCACTCAGTGCTTATGTTTCATTCTGGATACTGGGACAATAAAGCAAGAGAGACACTTTCGCTGTAGTGTGAAGTGGAATTTGTCCAGGATGGTACTATATGTGGAGGAATTTTTAGTAGGCTCACTGTGGCAAATAAAATAATGGGAAATAAAACAAATAGCTGTGTCGGATTTCCTAAATTGTAGGCATTGGGACCTGGCAGACACTTGAAGATGTGTGTGCAAAGCGAAGAGGTAGAAGCAGGAGTATGATAGGTCCCAGAGCACACAACCCTAGAAAGAGGACACCCATCTCCATCCTGCCAGCAGAAGCAGGGGGGTCCTGGAATTGTACAATGAGTGTATCACCTCCAGTGGGCATGAGGATGACCCAGATCCATGAGGATGATCCAGGTACATCCTGGCTCTCCAAAGTACTTTCTGGCAAACTGATTTATCTGAATCCCTCTGGGTTTGACATCTCTGCCTGTGAAATGGGGACAGGCGTCAATGAATCACTAAGATCTATAGCATCCAATGAAGTATAACTTTTAATGAATTCCATTAAAATTAGTTACACGAACTATATTGCTAGGAGTCAGATTCCGAGAGAGCAGTATTCAGAGTCCAGGAAGTTAATGACAATCTACTTCTCAAGGCAAGTGGTCGCTTCATGTGGGTCTGAGTTTTATGATTTTGTTTTAGATCTTGCCTATTCCTCATGTATATTTCATTTAGTAAAATCTATTACATAATTTAAAGGAACCCAAGGCAATCATTCTGAGAGCAAGTTTATGTTAACAAGTTTATTGAATGGAAAAAAAAAGAGAAAGAAAGCAAACATATCATCAATCAGCAGATGTACAAACAGCAAAAGACACAGAAACTCCATGCAACATTAGACTTCAAAACCCATTTTCAGCCAGGTGTGGTGGCATGCACCTGTAATCCCAGAACTTGGGAGGATGGTGTGGATGACCACAAGTTCAAGGCCAGCCAACAACAACAAAAACTAACCCCACTCCATTCACACTCAAGTGAGCAGGCAATGAGCTGGGGCTTCTGTGTCCACCTCTCCCACCTTGGCTTAGGTTTGAGTCCAGCTTAAATTTGCTTCTGCTCTGTTCCCAGGATGATCCTGTGACGGGGTGTAATTTTTACAGGCATCATGTAATATTTACTTTTCCTACCTAGAGAAGAAGAACACCCTTTCTGTATGTGGAACTCCCAAACCACCAACCTTTCTCTCTCTTTGTTTCTATTTTGCAGGGTCTTCTTACATGTGTCCCCCATGGCCTGCCTGCCACAGTAAGTACTCAACAGATGCTCCAAGACTCTTCCTTTCTTTGGTATGTTTAGTCTCAGTTCCTCAGTCCTTGAAATGGAAAGGACAATGCTCGTTTAATGGTTATAACGTTAGGAGAGAGCCAATGAGGTGGCACATACCTTCCACCATGCTTTCTTGACTCTCTGGCTCTCAGAAGCCATTTCTGCCTTGGGGTCCTTCAAGATTCCCAGCCTGTGGGTCCATATATCCTTTGGTTCATGCTGTGGAGCTCAGTGGTTGAGGAAGTGTCGAGACCATATGAAAAGCACCCTTGAGAACATTGCAAAAGAGGGGGCAGAAGGATTCTAAGCATAAGAACACGGGGAAGGCTTCTGTGTAACTGCCGCTCTTAGAAATGGATAGGTAAACAAGATCAGAACAAGGTCAATGTCAATAAACATAGAAGGGTGACAGTCTCAGGTGTCTCATCTCTAGAGGAACTACAGGCCCCCAATGACTGCTAGAGAAGGGAGAATTAGCCTCTCCTAGGGATGAGCTCCCTGACTGGATATTCAAGACAAAATATTCAGTCCTGAAACCCTTTGTACACAAACAAACAAAAATGAATTCAGTAGCTTGTATTTGCATGTTTGTTTATACTTATTATATAGATATATCTGTATGTATATATCATATTTATATAAAGCAAAAGTAAGCCAAAAAAGGAGGCTAATTTGAGAGATGGGGGTACATGCGAGAGGTTGGAGGGATGGGACATGGGAAGTGCTTGGGGGAGGGAAGGGACAGGGAAGTGTGTAATTATATTTTCTGAAATGTGGAAATAAGAAGCATCTTTGAAGCTCTAGTATGGGACATCAAGACCGCAGCCTCGGACCTTCCTTCCACAGAAGCTCAATGTCGCTCACTTGGTTCTGGATTCATTGGCAGTGAGAGACGTGTCACAAGGTCCCCACGGTGACCTAGACGCATCCAGATACCTTGCCTTCTGCTCTGCGGCTTGGTTTCTAGGGAAAGGCTAAGCTCACAGGTGGAGAATCCAGCTAGACAGAAGTGCTTTGGGGAGTCTGTCATTTATGAGCCAAAGGTCACAAGAAGGTCGTGGCCTCTCTCTCCTGCTTCCTCTCAAAGCCTCGGAGGGCAACCTTCCTGCTTCTCTTGCTGCTCCCTGGTCACCAGAGCAGAGAATTCTTCTTGTTCCGTGTCTGTGACACTTGACACGCCTGGCGACATATGGAAATCAGCTTCTGTCTGCCTCAGAAGTGGTTTTCAGTTTTCAGGTCCAGGAAGTTTCGGAATGCAGACAGGTCTCCCTTGGCCCTGGAGAGTAAGATAGTCTGTGTTCACAGCACAGATCTCAAATAACTTGTCAAAATCAGGAGAGGAGGACCACCTGGGGCTTGTGGCCTTAGGACGTGGAGGCTCTACAAGGTGCAAGCAGGGACTATGGCATCTCCTACCCTTTCAACCTCTCTATTGCGGCCTGCAGGATGCCTCACCAATTAGACTGCCTCCTTGTGGCCTGCTGTTTTCCTTTGATCCATCTATTCCAACTGGGCAAAGTTTCAACTGCATGACCTTGGACTAGTGACCTACGAACCCTGGAACCAAATAGATAGGGAGAGGGGTGGGAGAGAGGGAGAAAGAGCGGGAGAGGGAGAGAAAGAGAAAGACAAAGACAGAGAGAGACACTAAGGTCCTTTTGAGGTCGTGGGGAAGTAAGAGCTAAGTAAGGCACATTGTAAGGGAAGGGAAGCTATTTCAGCTATCAATCACCTTGCTTGTGTCTGTACAGAAACTTTCTTGAACAAAAGAGAGATTAAGATATGGAAAATACATGCTTAATACAAGAATGTGATCTATATGCATGGGAAATAACTCAGTGAATTAAGTAAACCTCTAGAATAGATCTCAAGGAGTTGCCTTAGCCTTCAGGCTTGAATACACTTTTCTTTGAACTGCAGGGAGAAGGAAAGGGCAAGCCCTGATTGAGATGGGTTGGCCAGGGAAGCCCTATAAAAGAAAAGTGAGGTTTGTTAGACAGTCATCAGTTGGTACCTCCTCATGGTTTCATGGTCCGCAGTGTTCTAGGTCTTCTCTCTGGTGCAGAGAGGGGAGCAACCTCACAGTGATGCCCTTTATACTGTAAATATCTCTTACAAAAGTGTAACTTTCTCAGGACCTCTCATGTGGCTGTTGGGCTTCAAAACAGCAGCACAAAATAATCCCTATCTGCCAGGAGTCTTTTGGGAGAGTCTCCTATAGCCATACTGTGACCGAGCATGCCTTTAACGTTATCTTTCATTTTCTGTCTGCCTCCTCATCGTAGTTGCTTAGCAAGGTTGACACTGGCACCTCCGTGGGTGGAATGCTAGAGTCTAAGGAAGACGTTAACTGCTAAGTAGCCCTTAGCTTTGTGGAACCTAGAACATGCGGTGGCTTTTGTGACTCCTTGCTGAGTCTTTGGTTCTGTAAATCTGTGAGGTTTGACTTGTAGACCGCTGATTTAAGAAAATATAGGAACTGGCTGGGAAGGTTCATTGTAATGTTTCATCTTGTCAAAAACAAACAAACAACAATCAAACAAAACCCCCAAAAAACTGACACAAGTCCTGGACTAAGATTTCAATCAGCAAGTAGCCCTACTGTCCTACTCTCCCTCCCCGTAAGCCCCGTCTCTGGCCTCCATCTTTGAAGGCCCTGTCCCTTTGCCTGCCAAGTCTCGACCGCTCCCTGGAGGAAGGTCAAGATGAGCCCACCAAAATCTTGACCACACCCTCAGTCTATTTAAACTGCTTCCCTGGAAAGTTTCCTCATGGTCTCTTTTCTTTCCTCCTGGTGGTCTCATTAGGGGTTTCCCAGCTCCCCTTCGGGGCATTAGCGGCCTCCTGATTGCCCTTCAGGGCATTAGCGGCCTCCTGATTGCCCTTCAGGGCATTAGCGGCCTCCCAGTTCCCCTTTGGGGCCACCCGAGAGTGCAGAAATCTCATTAAACCTGGATAATTTTTTATTTGGATTGTTGTGATTTGGCTTGATTGGGATTTTTGCTCCGGCAGAGAGCTTGCGTTAGAAAAAAATTCCTAACATCCTTCCTGTTCCTACTAAAGGTCTTTGCCAGCCCTGAGACCCCCAAGATGCAGACTGAAGGTTGAGCAACCTCCATCTTCTCAAATTGATGGCCCTTTGAATCAATCTCATTATCTACTACTAACTTGTCTACACCCTATGTTAGGCTGGGGTGGGGGTGGGGAAGGAAGAAAGGGGTTGTGAGTCAAACGTCTTTCAGGCTAGAATTTTAAATGCAAGCTATAACACAGAGGAAGATGTGGAGAGGGGGAGAATGAGCGGGGAGATTGCAGTTCTACCACTGAAGCGCTTTCTGCTGCTCATTGGTTTTCTTTTTTTTTTTTAATTTTAATTTTTATTTATTTATTAAAGATTTCTGTCTCTTCCCCACTGCCGCCTCCCCTTTCCCTCCCCCTCCCCCAATCAAGTCCCCCTCCCTCGTCAGCCCAAAGAGCAGTCAGGGTTTCCTGCCCTGTGGGAAGTCCAAGGGCCACCCACCTCCATCCAGGTCTAGTAAGGTGAGCATCCACGAAACTGCCTAGGCTCCTACGAAACCAATAGGAGAGATCCTGTACCTGGGGGCAGCAGGCTAAATTAGCAAATAACTCATAGAACTCATAGTAGGAGCCTATGATCAGGCTGAGTCTCATACCCAGGCAGTGGGGGGTGGGGACAGCTGAAAAACTTCATGGGAATAGCACGTGTCCCCTGTCAGCCCCTCACATCAGGTAGAAGATGTAGAGTACTGCCAGCTTGTGGGGCCCCACCACCTGTGACATAACAGCCTCGATTTTAATTCTGGTAACAATATCTTGGGGTAATATCCTGAGCCTGATTACTGTGGAATTCCTAGCAGCTTGCCAAAGACTTAGAATGTCGGAGATATTTCTAGAATTATCAATTTGTGTCATTGCTATATCTTCGGTGCAGGTAGCCACCCTTTAGGGACACAGTTTGATATCTGATGATTCATTCCTGTGGTGTAAAATTTAAAATCCTAAAATGGGGAGGTAGAACTTAGGGGACTAAGCGTCTTTGCTCTTTCTGAATTTGAGACAAAATCTCTTATTCTTAAGATTCATAGCGTTAAAAACAAGAGTCTCCTGCTCTTACACCATGGAGGTAACATCTGTTCTCAGTGGCTCTTAAAGGCAACATGGCCTTCTTTGTGAAGCTCCCAATTGCAACCTCACTGCAGACTCACCTGTCTGCTCCCGAGACCCAGATCCAGTGGACAAGTTCAGTGCAGAAGCCTAATAACCACATATCATCAAGGTTATGCTCTCGCTTCTGATAGATGAGGTCAGGCCACACTTTGCATATTTAAAATGTATTTTTCCTAACTTGCTACCTCATAACAAAGGGAGAACCAAATCACATCCTCATTAGCTTCAAAGAAATACTGATGTTTGTTTTTTTTCCCTCCTTTTTTCTCTGTTTCTTGCATTGGCAGGAGATTTAGTTTTGCTTAAAGGAAATTCAGATGACGCTAATGAGACCACAGTGTCTTAATTTGCATATTAGATGAGATAAATATTGAGCTAATTAACACCTAGGATGAATTTTATTGCTCGGTACATTGTTCTGTGGTGATGGTAGTTCTTCACTACTTACCCAGGAGCAGAACGATTTGAAAGGAGACTCATTTCTGCACAATTACTCAGGGTCAACCGAAAACCTTCCTGGGAAGTTCCACCTAGGATTTTTATTTTAATTCTAATCAATCATCCATCTTCCTTTGGGCTAACTGATCCTATTGGCAAGTGGCACCAACTGAGGATCTGTATACAGAACAGAGCCAAGCAGGGGGCTAGGGCAAAAGCATTTCTTGCATTTTGGGTTCTGGAACAAGGTATAGAAAGGATATATTCAGCTGGAATGCTTACTGATTCTAATAGCAGGCCAGACTAGAATACTAAAGAACATCTATCCACTGGTGTTTGTTATAGCTCAGGAA